GAAACTCAGCTTCATTCTAGAATGACAGAGAAGTCACGTAACACTGCCGCGCAACGATAGCGCATGCAGTTTGTCGAGAAAAATACTAAAAACTTCAACATTTACCTTGATGAGGGGTTGCTGCTTCTGTAACCTGTCTATGCAAGGGGAGCTCGGAGTGAGAGATCATTTGCTATAGGGGAGTAAGAAGTGATACCTCTGTCAATGACTCAGGCTTTGGACTGTTTGCTTGTGGCACCATCGCCTGGTACGCTGGACACGGAAAAGGTACGGTATATTCGTTGAGCAAGGGAGGAATGACTTACCGACATCTACAGAACGGCGTTTACCGCATACCAAGGATATTACTGATCCACGATAGTTTGACCGACGATCTCGACGATATCCACTACGAGTTTTAACGAGTTGAAGCACGCGGTGACTTCCACAAAATATACAGCGAGACAGACTTTCGGAGCATCTACCTCACTCGCTGACCACTCCCGCACCGGATTCCGGTTGTCAACACAGAATCAAGAAGGTCGGAAATGCGGGAGCGTGCAGACGGCTGGCGCGACAAACAGTCAATACGCGTACCAACAGCATGTCTCGCTAGGTAGGCTCCCGACAGGGAGCGCCATATAGGCCACAGCTGACTCTCAGCCCGAAGACAGTCACTACACACAACAAGACACACTGTACCGACTGCGGTGTCTAAGGATCGACCTCACTCTCTCCCCCCCCACGGCCAGCAACAGGCCACCGCCTAGCTATCGGCCGCCTGAGGTGGGATAGGCGCAACACTGATCCACACAACCAGAATTATATGCTTTGCCACTAAAACGTTCATTTAAAAGGAGGTCCTGTGACTCAACGAACTGTCTTACTCCCTCCAGCGTACCCGGGTTCGAGTCCCTCGCTTCTCGATTTCGTCCTGCCGATGTCTATAAACTGGTGTCCAAGTAAAATGATATTTAAGGCACACATGCGTCTCGGACCGCTATAAACCCGAAGGATTGCCCTCCCAATTGGATCTCCAAGCGTCGTAGTCTCCGGATGAACCAGAAAAATGAAAGCTCGTTAATTAAGCTATTGCATGCATGTTCTAAAATTATAAATATATCTGAGTAAAGCCTTTTTTGACAGACGGCACTGCTTTGCTCTTCACGGAGATGGTTCGGAGTGAGAATTACTGTCAAATGCCTCCGTCCGCATGCACTTTCAACATGGAACAGTGTGGTGCTGTCCCCAACATTGTTGACACCATCCAGATCTCAATGGTTCGAGCCTACGAAGCCAGACCTGGAGGCTATCGCATCTCACAATTTCCCAATAAGAAAATATTTTATGACTGGGTGAAGTCGGGTGAGTTTGGGATGCGGGTGTCCTAAAATATCTGGATTTTAAACAGCAGTCCTTTGAGCTGTTCTGAAGTACCCAAACGTCGGTCATATTGATCTTCGGCGTTGAATGAGCTATAAAATAATTTGGTAGGGTCTCGCTTGCTGGCAGCAGAGGTTGCATACTTCTACAAAACATTTCCCTTATCGCTCAAGTGTCCCTTTTCAACATCACCAGAGTGTGCCGATTACTTAAAGAGTTAAAAATTGAGTATCTCATAAAGTTGACTTAAACAGAAAAAAAAATGGGTAGACGAGAATTTTCGACAAAGAAGAAGGATACTTGAATGGCCCCTTCCGCCTTAGCTGACCCCAAACCAAATGCTTAACTTAGCAGTAACACTTAGAGGATACGAGAAGGAAAGGGGTTATCGTAACTCTACTCAAATGATTTAAGTGCATATTTATTAGACGTAAAGACTATATAGGACCACACACCCGATCGTTGCCCGGTCATAATTTAACACCAGGCTAGAAGGAACCACGATTTTAAATCGGAGTTCCGTTGGTCACTGAAGTAAGGACTCTGTCACTTTATTCATCGGCTCGAGTATATTGGGCTCTCTTTGGGGATACCAAAAGCCACTTGGGAATGGCGTTCACTGATTGCGAGTGCAGAATGAGTACGGAAGATCTGGATTTCGATGGTTTAAGGCTTCCTTAGAATAATTTCTCGGGCTTTGTGAGATTAAGAAGTTGTTCATAAACTTGCGGCAATTAATATCTAAGAAGACGTATCAATAAGCGCCTCGGTGTATTCTGTGCGCCTCTTTTTGCTTAGGCCACTAAAGTATGAACACGAAGGCTGTTTGGCATGGACAACGGCTGAGTCTAGCCATATGAAGCACATGGTGCAACTATGCGCTGAATCCTTGAATTTTTCGTTTTAAGTGGAGCAGGGTTCACTCTCTGCCTAAGTTGTCCGATTATTTACTTTTTTCTTTTCCCTGATCGCTTTAGTGCTTCAGTTGCGACTTCTAGATGTGTACTTTTACCTACTTTGTTTTTCAGATTGCGGCGCCATGTTCAGGGATGAGATGTGCAAAGTTCGCAGTCTGAATACCTATATTGCAACCTTCACAAGGGATCTCTTTTGAATCGTTTTCCTACCGAAGCCAAATGGAGCAGGATGTCTCTCTCTCTATCCTTTTTCTTTTCTTTTATTTAAAGGGCAACAATTTCCGTCAGTCTGTTATCCTTTGATGTCGGCTACTTTTACAGTCCCCCTGGCAAAAAAACACGGACTCGTCTTTAATCAGATTGAATCGCAGACGGAGAAGACCCGGGGCTCGAGCCCGGGTTCTTTAATCATTGAGTCAAGTTCTCTGCCACTGAGCTGCGAACTCATCCCCAGTTTATCCTATTAAAATAGAAGGGTGCGATGTGCTGGGTGTTCTTCAATCTAATCAGTCTGATACTAGAGAGTCTTTTGTTTCGAAAAAAGGCAACAGTTAAGTTGGTCGCCCATCTTAGATACCACTAGCCCCTTGTCCTACGGTTACTTTTAGTTTTATTGGTTTAAATTTAGATTATTGCTTATTATTCTATTAAGTTATACTTAAATAACTACGATATACTAAAATAAACTAACTAAACTAAAAACTAAACTAAAATAATACCACCCGTCCACAGAGTTCTGGGGCTAGAAGGATCTAACGTGGGCGGTCAACTTAGCTCTTGCCCAAAATCTACGGATAAAAGACAGACACTCTCAAGAGACCCGGCCAATGCTTCCGTCGTTTCGGCGGTTGAATCGCAGGGGGTTCAGTAAATTAAACCCTAGCAACTGCGATCTTCAGACTATGGTTACCTAGTAGAGAAGAAGTCTTGGAAAGGCCAGAGTGTTAGGAACAGTATATTGAGTACACAGAGGAACGGAGAATAGATGGAAGAAGTCTGACTTGGGAGAACACGGCCAGCCAGGAGAGCCAGCCGAGCCCAAGTGCCAGTTTGACAGCAGTCAGGCCAGTGGACAGAGAAAACATGCGCGCGTGCAGGCTTGCCAATCTTCGCTGGTCCAGAAAGCATCAATGCGGCAACTGTGATTGACTCTTTGCAGACGTAGAGAACCGCAGTCGTGATGTTCTAGTGGAGTTCACTTCGACGCGAGCTAGTCACAACAGATGCAAATAAAGTCATCGACGCCGAAGGGAACCCTAGTGAGCAGAAAGTGAGGTATAATTTATGGACGGAGTGCGTGTACAAATCGCTAAATCCAACAGCAATTTTTTTCGATCAGACGTGTGGCCTGGATTCGAATGACAATGCCCCTGTTTTGCTTACGAGGTGTTTACTGACGGAGGTTAAGTCTATCAGCGAAAAAGGGCCAATGGTCTGTTTAGGCGCACAGACTGGAATTCCAGGAAGACATGCGGCCGTCAGAGAAGGATTTGTAGGTTGGGTTAAATGTCACTGGCCGGCAGTTCGAATGTCACATACGACGACCTCCATCGCATGCACCACAGAGTGGGCTCAGCAGTACCTTGCACGTGGATTAATTTATAGTGACTCGGTGGACTCGTACGGTATCCAACTCTCTTCTCGTCCACACGGGTTCTGTGGCATGACAAGGCATGGACGACCGAAGGTGGACCCGGATGCAGAAACAGGTAAACTGCCCGTCTACGCATGCTACACATAAGTCGATGCTCGTTGGAGACGTATGAAGCTGCCTCACTTTTGCGAGGTGTTCCTGATCTGACGTGCGAGGCTATGCCGGTACTGTCAAAGTGGATTGCTGAATGCTGTAAGAGAGAAGTTGAGTTGTTTCGTATTCTTGCCTTCTCAGACTATTTACCCAGCAGTCACGCGTAAGTCGAACCCAATGATAACAACTATCAACGCAGTAAGGTACTATTAAGAAAAATAGTAAAGGATAAACAATGTACAAACCTCAACAATGGATACACACAGTCAAGAAGGGAGAGATTCGGCCACATTGATTCACTCTATACAGAGGAACAACACGCCTTCGACAACAATGACACTCAGAGCGAAACCACTCTTGGGGGAGCGTGTATGTGTTAATGGGAGAGGCGGAGGCTGTCACTTTTATGTGGTTTCAGGAGGCAGTTCCTGCGGACTCCCGTTGGTCTGAAAACGCCAGCGCCATAGTGGGGGTGGGAGTGAACAGACGCAATAATATGCCGGTAAGGGGGGGGGGTAATTGCAAGCGTTTAAAGTCAGCGGTGGTGACAGCTAGTAGTTCTTGAAACAACTATCTCTTGATGCAGTGGGAGGGGAGAAGCATTATAGGAAAAGTTGATTAAAAGGCAAGGCTGCCGAACGGGTGGCGGGGCCAGTATTGAAGTACCGCTTGGCCGGGGCACTAGTTTTAACACCAGTGTGCATTCAACTGGAAACAAAAGGTTCAACAGGAACAGAATTTTTGGAGGAAGGGGATTCGGGCACGCAATTCAGAAGACGAGGGAACAGTCTTTCGTAAGGAGGAAACAATTGGAGTTGGTATAGCAGGAAGTCACTCAAAATGGACGTGGAGAATTTCGAAGTTGTTCAGCTGGAAATAAAATTAGTTGTTTATATTTTTCACGAAGAGCTGGAATGTATGTGCGCGCACGAGCGTTAGCGAATACGTTCGTATGCAGCCTGAGGGTGTGTGTGTGTGTGTGTGTGTGTGTGTGTGTGTGTGTGT